CAGGTCTCCTCTTTTGTGGTGGTGGGTGATGAGTCGTTTTCTGTGGTGGGAACAAAGTCGTTTTCTGTGGTGGGAACAAAGTCGTTTTCTGTGGTGGGAACAAAGTCGTTTACTGTGGTGGGAACAAAGTCGTTTTCTGTGGTGGGAACAAAGTCGTTTTCTGTGGTGGGAACAAAGTCGTTTTCTGTGGCGCTTGTCTGTTTTCTGTGGTGGGAACAAAGTCGTTTTCTGTGGTGGGAACAAAGTCGTTTTCTGTGGCGCTTGTCTGAGAAAGTGAGCCTCTCTGTGGCTGGAAACACCTACAGATCTTCTCCACTGTTTTGTTTTCCATAAAAGTAATCGTCCTGTTGTGAGAGACCTCTACATCATCCTCCCTGTCCTACCAAGTACAAGTGTGAGAGGTATCACGTGTGAATTGCTAGTTAGGGAGATTATTAACAACCATTCCTAGTAAGTAAACAAGTATGCAGGTAGTATGTTTAACTGATCTAAATGCTCTTAACTAGGTAACCCGTATAGTTAAGATAAATTGGATGACCATTAATCCACCTTTGGTAAACTGGAAAGGAATTTTAGGAATTTTTTTTTTTTCTGTGTTGGTTGAGGAATCACGTCAGGGGGATGCAAGTTAACATGGCTCTGGACTTTACCCAGACAGACGCTCACTCAATACCATCTTCACACGTTCACAAAAAGGCTTAAAAATTACCCCGAGTCTTCGTTCTTATATGAGTTGTTGTTCTTCTGGACCGAGTTTTTTCTCTATATCTAATTTCCTCTGCTGGGGTTAGGTTAGGTTGGTGTTAGTGTTAGGTTAGGTTGGTGTTATGTTAGGTTAGGTTGGTGTTATGTTAGGTTAAGTTAATTTTTGGTCAGGTTAGGTTAATGTTAAGTAAATGTTAGGTTAAGTTAATGCTAGGTTAGGTTAATGGTTGGGTGGTTAATCATTAGTTAAAATAAACTTGGGTGTCTAATCTTCAGGTGAGCGGAAGTCAGTAAACCCGTATATGAAGCCAAACACGACACGACTTTATCCCTTAAGCCCCGTGGACTGAGAACACAAAGCCACGCGTCATCAACATCGCATAGGTGGTGTGTGACAGTGTAAACAAGGTGGTCTTTAATAACTCTCTCTCTCTCTCTCTCTCTCTCTCTCTCTCTCTCTCTCTCTCTCTCTCTCTCTCTCTCTCCCACACTTTTTGTCTCCCCTTTTCCTCTCTTTCTCTTTATTCCTTTCTTTCTCTTTACTTACCGTCCCTCTCCCTCCCTCTTCGCATTCCTTTATCCCACTCTTTCTTCACTATCCCTCCCTCTATCACTCCTTCCGTCACTGACCCTTCCTTTTCCTTCTCGCTTCCCTTCCTCTCCCTCTCCTTCCTTTGCTTCCTCCCTCTCCCCTTACTGTTCCTCCCTCTCCCCTTACTGTTCCTCCCTCTCCCACACTCCTTGAACCCTCCCTCTCTTCCTCCTCCCTTTCTCGGCACCCTTCCCTTCTCCCTTTCTATCTCCGTATACGTTCAGCGCCACTATAAATCTGAAATCCGGCACAATGATAAATCCGGTGCCACAATAAATCTAAAATCCGGCACATTGATAAATCCGGTGCCACCATATCTCTGAAATCCGGCACCATGATAAATCCGGTGTCACTATAAATCTGAAATCCGGCGCCACTATAAATCTGAAATCCGGCGCCATTATAAATCTGAAATCTGGCGCCACCGTATAGTCGAATTTGTCGTCTCACATCCGGACAGACTCCTCGTATAGTCTACGTTTTATCCGGCCGCCATCTAAGACAGTATATAAGATTAACGCTGGATGTTACTGCCGTGTGTTCATACTCTGTAGTGTGGTAGTGTAGTGTGGCTGTGTAGTGTAGTGTTGTGTAGTGTAGTGTAGTGTAGTGTGTCTCCTATGTTAGTGTATATACCGGTTAAATAACTTTCTTCAGTCCGACCGTCGCCTCGCTGTCTCTTGGTCTGTCTCTCTGTCTCTCTCTCTCTTGAATGCTAATGTATTTGTTTATGCCTTTGAGTGTGTGTGTGTGTGTGTGTTTCTATGCGCGTGTGTGTATGTGCATGTGTAGGCTGTGGCATCAATCACCATAATGGCACTGGAAGCGGGTGCCAGTGAGTGCCAGAAGCTTAATCATGGTGAGAAAGATTAAAGTAGTGCCGACACCCTTCCCCCTCCCCCCCCCCTATCTCTACCTCTCTTCCACCCCTACACCTTTCTCCTTCCTCCCCCTCTCCTTACTCCTCCTACCTCTCCTCCTTCTATACCTGAATAGTTTGGTTTCATTATTGGAACACCTGATATAGGGGGTTGAAGTTAAGGGTTTTGACGTTTTAAGTCATGTGCTTTGTTGTACTTCAAATCTATCTGCAGCTTATAAGTTGAATCATTAATCTGTTGAGTCGGACATTAATCTGACGACCTGAATCATCAAGACCTTGAGGTGAATCATAACATCAGTGACTCGACTCTGTGATCTGAAGACCCGAATCATCATAAAAAGTAACAACTCGAACCAATAGCATGACGAACTGAATCAATAATCTGATGATACGAAACACCAAGCTGACTGAATTTTAATATTAATATGATACGTCGAATTAATAATCTAACGAGCCGAATCAATGGTCGAATGAGTCGAATCAATAATCTAATAAAACCGAATCAATAATCTAATTAGCCGAATCAATAAGTTAATGAAACCGAATCAATAATCTGATAAAACCGAATCACTGAGCTAACAAAATTCTCATCATTAACCTTCCGACCATAATCAAACACAAGAACCGAATCATTAATCCTGATGAAACCGAATCACTGATCGGAGTAACACCACTTTGCGAATCTGGGAAAATCTTGACACTAGGTTTCTGGCCGCTTACACATAACGGCCAAGGTCACCCGGAGAAGCAATTTGGATAATGCAATGGCGCCTTAGTTCCATTATGGCGCACGACGGACCCACCAACCTTCTCAACCCCGGGGCCCCTAGTGGTTTGAATTATTCGTGGTCGGGAGAGAAGGACCATGGATTAGTGTGTGTGTGTGTGTGTGTGTGTGTGTGTGTGTGTGTGTGTGTGTGGAGGTCGAGCAGGGTGGAGGAGTAGGTTGGTGGAGGAGGAGGTTGGTGGAGGAGGAGGTGGAGGAAGAGGAATTTGGATGTAGTGGAGGAGAAGGAAGA